CCATTTTCACAGCGGTCTTATATCCTACCTATCAGAAAAATGAAGATTTTTTTTTTTTCTGTAGGTAAAGGAGAGAAGAATAAGCAGGCAGGCTGTTGAAAGGTAATAGTTGCTGCTGTTCAGAGGCAAACAAAAGGGTGCGGTTGGGTCCTAGGAACAATGAATGTCGTCTTTTTAGTATGGATTGAGTTAAAATATTGTGAAGTTCCTTTATGCTTTCACTTCAGCAAGTGCCATCTCTTGGGGGAAGCTTCTTCCTGTAGAAGGGAAGAAGTCTACTCTGTGACTTTCGGGAAGGCCATTCAGTCAGAAAAATCCTATCTGCCTGTGGTGTTGAACTTGCAAATTCTATTTAACAGCATCAGTAAGGTGAATTGTGGGTGATCTGTCAGTGAAGAGTCACAAGGATTTAATGAGAGCTCTCAGCTAGAGTTTTTCCTCTTGTTTGCGAGATGTTGGGAAGCTTCCTACTAAGATTCCCTCCTAGGGGATATTGGTTGTTTTTTCAAGGAGGCAGTCATTGCCTTGAAGTTCTGTTGAGTATTTCCTCAAATTGAACACCTTGCATATTCTGTTCCATCTCCAGCTCGTGAAAAGTTAACTCTGCACAGGTAACAATGCCATTTGTGTAAATAACCGCAGTCCATAGGCTACCTGCTACCGCTGAGCAGAGTTAGGTGAGCTTGCAAAGCAACCGTGCTATTTGCGGTGAGACATTGGTCTCTGGGGGGAGAGATTTTCTGTGGAGGTGAGAATGGAGATTTAATTCTGGAGCCTTGCCAATTAGCATGTGTTGTGTTAACAAGCTAATGCTAGAGCAATTCCACAAAGATTTTGCATGTTTCAGTATGCTTTGGTGATGTGTAAAGCTGCGATTTTATTTCTAGCCTGTTTTCCATGCACTCTCTGCTGTGGTGGTTTTCTTTTTTCAAGATCTGTGGATTATAAGATGCTTCTTTCTATCCAAGGATAGACTGAAATTTAGGAAAGTGGGTTGGAGAGCTCTTTGGTGAGACAGATGCATGTAGGCACTGAAGAACTTCATGTAGAGGTAGGAAGTTGCCCCCCCAAATGGGGGATTCTTTTGTTGTCTTTTTTTTTTTTTTTCCTAAGTGTCAGGTGGGTGATGAATGGAAGGACTATTCAACAATCAGGGAAGAAATGTTTCTGAGCAAAAGACAGAAAGTGTGTTAGTGAGTATCGATGGATTTGTGCCTGCTGATTTGTCTTTCAGGCTTGACACTGAACAACGTCTTTTGATGTCCTCTGGCACCTGTGTTATGAGAGCGAAAAGCTGTTTCTTCATCATTTCCATGTTACATAAGATTTAACTTTTTTTTTTTCCCCTGTGATATTTTTCATCAGTCATCTCTTCCAGAGACTCATGGCCTCTAAGACATTTAAAAGCACGTACTTCAGCCCAGATTCCTGACTAACAGCTATACCTGGCAGACTGTAGTGTGGTGGAAAACTTAAGTAAAAATGCAAGCAGAAGGCTGTAATCTGTTACTTATTTTATTAAAGGAAAGTTAACTTTCATTGTTGTATATACAGGGTATGTACAAATAGGATACAAGAAATTTTTTGTGTGTATGTGTATATATACACAGATGCTTAGTGTTACATTTCCAATAGTTTGCTATTTTCTAAATGAAATTGATCCATGCGGATCAGTTTGTATTTGATTTCCTCGTTTTTTTAACTCCCAGTTGTAGTTTCAACCTTGTGTAAGCTGATTGTTGAAGTGAACTAATGAAATATGTTCAAACTAAGAAGGCTTTCCCTGGGAAAGTGTTCTCTCTACCCTGGGGAAAAAAAAAAGTTTGAGTAGTCAAGAGCTGATTTTTTTTTTTTAAATTTTTCGGCCATGTTTCCTTGTGTTTAGGCTGTTGGTATGAAAATAGCAGAATTTTTCCAGTGCGCATTTGCAGAACCTGTTGCAAAAAAAAAAAAGAAGAGAGCTTAGAATTTAAAGTCAGTGTTTCAGATTTACGGTATGCTTCTCATGAAAGGAAAATGGAAGGGGGGGAAAAAATTATATCTTTTTTCAACAAGGTAGATTGTCCAGTGCTGGGAGAATCCTGTGTGTTTATGGGGTCAGTTGCACAGAGTTGGGAAGTGGATGGTGGTGAAGGGATGTTGAAGCTTGAGGTTCATACTCTTTCATGTGGATGTTGACCCTGGAGTGGAAGCTTCTGGTCTGGCCAGAGGGCTAACCCAGATGAGCTGCTCGGGAGTGGAGGCATCGTTCTCTGGAGCACGTAAACCTCTGAACAAATAGAATATTTATATAAAGATAATAACTTGTTTAACCGTGTAACTCTTCTCAATTAATTTATTTCAGTGGCTGTGAGTCAGGAGCAGGAGTGGCTTGCTGTGTGAGGACTGTGGTGCTTTGATGTTGCATTGCAGAGATTTCTCAGCTGCATATGAAGAAACTCTTTCAAATTACAGACTACTGTATTAAGGAAACGGGCACTAATTTCAGTCATTTCTCTACGCAGAGAGGAATCTACCAGAGGGTTGAGTAGGCAGCTGGGAGAGCCGATGATGTCAGCTGTCGTTACCAGACTGCTCTTAATGAAATACAACTTTTTGCAGTATGAGTATTAGCCCTAGTCTAATAGCAATCTCATCTAACTCTTACAGTGCAAATTCATTTTCTGTCTTGATTTTAGCCAAAATCTGCAGAATTATGCTATGATGATTTGAAGTAATTAAGTAATGAACTGTAACCCCAGGTAACAGACTCCTAAATACTGTCTTCATCTTTGAGAAGAATGCGTTATTACTAGTGCATGATGTAGGATAGATTTGCTTCATAAGAATAAAATCTAATTTTTCCCATGCTGATAGAGGCAAGTTTCTTTTGTATATTGTGCTTAAAAAGAAAAAAAAAGAGTTGAAGCTAGACTGCATTTGCACAAGCACATTTGAAAAGAAGTGTTTTGTTAGGCTGCTAGACTGACATGATTCAATTTTGTCACGAACACAAGGGCTGCTCAGCATCTTTTGCATTTGGGAATGAAAATTGGCCTCTCCCCTTCCTTTCTGAGCTTCTTCAGATGTTTTATTATGTTAAACAGTGCAAAGAATCACGGACTTTCTCTGTGGTGCTGCTTAAATTTATCTTTTTGTTTGTGTTCAACTTTAATTTATTCTGTCAAGTTTGCGCCCAAGGTTGGGAGGTACAAAGATGTGGAAGTTAATAATGAGATTTAGGGATTGCCTGGGTAAAAGGGTGGCGTTTTTGCCTTGAAAGCAAAGCAAAGCTTTGGTCTTACTGTTTTCACATGGGTTGGTGTAGGTTAGTCAAGTCCAAGTAATGAGAAACTAGATCCTTTGGTGGTGTGCATTGTCTGCCTGTGGACCTGTTTAAGGAGACTTGCTAAAGCAAAACAGCCGCTGATGTTTTAAAATGATTCATCACCAATATGCTGCTTAAACTAACGGAAGTGTTACTGAAAAGCTTTTCCTCCTCTGCTCTTCATGTAACGCAACAATTTTTTGGTATTTCCTTGTAAGGTTCTCCCCCCCCCCCCTTTCTTTGTTTTACTGCTTTGCATGGAAACTGATTATTGAAGAACTGCGTGTTTTCTCTAGCTGCTTGTAATGCATCTGTGTTTTTCTTTGAGCCACCTGTTTTCTCCTTTTATCATTCCATATATGACATAGAACATTACATACCAATCTGGGTTTGTTCCAGGATGCTGGTGTGTCTGCCCCATTTAAAGTGCAAGGTGATGAAAGCGTTCTGACATCTTGCAGAATTACATTTTCCCTCCCCCTTGCCAGTCAGTAGGTTTTAGTGTGGTAGCGTAGTAGTTTACATAGCATTCTTGAAATCTGGAAGAACTGGGAAGATGAACCTTGTTTCTGTCTTCTTTTCCTCAGCAACCTGCTGTGTAGGCTGATTATATCTTAAGCTGCTACTGTGTTTGAAAGACATTTACACATTTAAAAAAAAAAAAAAGTAAAAAAAAAAAATTGAGGACTGTGTGTTGACAGTGACTTGCTTAATTCGATACCATCTCTTGAAGCTACCTATGCCCAAAGCATGCTTTGGAAAAAAGCTTAAACTATCTGGATAAGGTAACAGTACTTTTTTTAGTATAAGCTCCATCTAAGTTAGTGCTGCTGCAGTCTTACCCTCCATATGGGGTGCTCCTGAGCATCCTCACTAATTCAGGGAGTTAAACTGACTGGGGAGTGTTCCCTCACTTTTTTTTTTCTTCCCACATAGCGCCAGCTTGACCCCTTGAACTTGGCTTGCTGAAGGTTTAAATGAGGAACATTGCAAGGCAGGTGTAAGTCTGCACGTCTGAAGAAAAAAAGGTGAAATGCAGAATTAAAGCAATTCCGAGTTAGACTTAAACTGTCATGGTAATGGAGCCTGAAGTGTTTTCTGCAGACTCCTTAACAGTTTTTAATGTCTACTCCAGAGAGTTAATAATAGCACTTAATCAGTCTGGAAATCTAGACAGTGAGGAGGCACGATTTTCATTGTGTGTAAAAAGGTATGTAGATAACAAGGAGCAAAGTATCTGATTGAATCGAGGTAGCTCACAGCCAATACTCGGTGAAAATAACTGAACCGATTTGACATTTCACCGGGGCTGATCATTGTCCTCTTGATCCGAACTTGTGGGAAGAGAAGCGTTGGATGTGACCCGCTCAGCACGTTTGCAGTAGTGTGTCTTCAGTTTGCAGTCCTCTGTCTTCAGCAACACAGGGTTGTTGGAGCCTGGCAGGCTGTGCCATGGTTTTTCTTGGTGAGAATTTAATCTGTGCAACCCATGTGGTGTTGAGAAAAGGATACCTTATCTTGGCTAAGATCTGCTAACTGTAGAAGTCTGGAGTCGACCTGCCATGGAGCTCTTGAGCACACACTGTGCTGCAGCATTGGTGGGGCAACTTCTGTGAGTATAGGGAAATTTTCTTGTCCTCTAAGCAGAAGACTCACAAATAGATAGAAGCCCAGGAATGTGGTGAGCGAGGCGATGGCAGCCTGCATCAAGAGCACTCAGATCATGCAACCGATCAGTGAGCTATGGCTCTGGCTTCTGCCACTGTTTTGCTTACCTATATGTACCTTCCCAGTGCCCTCCCTTACGGCTGGGACGTGGTGCAGCTCCTGGTATCACTGGTGATCAGCGCCTGGGCTCCTCCGTGTCGGGTAGAACACACCTTCTTACCTGGCTGCCCGCCCGGAGCACAGGCAAAGGGCTTTTTTGGACTGGCAGGTTCAACTGCAATTTTTTGTGTGTTTTGCTGGCCTGATTGAGATAAATTATATAGACAGGGTGCTTCAGGAATTCAGGATTGAGGTGAGGGAGGCAGCAAGGGGATGAAAAATTGGGGATGGGAGGATGTTCTGGAAGCAAAACTGGACTGTGGCGGATTAGAGGTAGGGAGATGGGAGCTTGCTTCTCTGGTGCGGACGCAGGTTCTGAGCTGTGTGTGGAAAATTGCGTTTTGTTTGTAGTTCACTGATGGGAAAAGATGTGCTACAGAGGATATGTTTTAATTGTTGATAAACTTAAGGAAAAAAACACCGTGCGGTATTGAAATGCTGCTGTCTCCCAGGTACGTATCTATCAGTTTCCAAGGTTTGAGAAAGCATTTATCCAAATTCATAGAAGACAAAAAATCTAGTGAGAAGCTGTTGGAAGATACTGCCTATTGGTTTAGGCAGTTTGTGATCCGCAAACACTAGAGGCACAGAGGATCTACTGGTAAAGTGTCACTGTTGTAATTACTTTGGTTTTATACTCTTCCCTAGGCATTTTCTGTAGACCCCTGATAGAAACAACAGGATACTAAGGCAATATTCTGCCTTTTTTATGAGTTAAGAGCTATAGTACAAAACCTCTTAAATTATTTTTATATGCCAGTCTTTTAGTTAGAACATAATTTTTTTGAAGCAATAAAACTTGACATTGATTCTCATGCTGCTCTTTCGTGATGCTGTTGAAATTCGTGTAATTAGCACCGACTGTTAGTGTGTAGCTTTTTATGGCAGTACAGGCATTAAAACAGTAGTGGTTCATATAATCAAATTACTCGGTGTTGTACCACTATTAAAACTTAAAGATTTGATTGATCTTCTATAGGGTAATTTGGTTTTGTACATCTTTAGATATTATTGCACATCAAGATATTTATGCTTGACAGCTTCAATTAGGATTGCCTTTTACGTCACTTTTATAAAGGCTGGTTTTTATAACATGCGATTTTATTCCTGTGTGCCTATTTGATTTCTATGATCAGTTTCTCTACAAAGTTTATATTAAGGATTATCACCTTGAAAATCTCATGGTGTTACAAGTTCTAAAATGTTGGTTTTGTGAACCTGGAATTGCTTGTGTGACCATTTATCAGCAAGAGAAGGTTTTCTTTATTCCAAAAGAGATTTATTGCTCCAGTTGCATTGTTTCACCTACTAATTCTTTTGTCCTCCTAATTTTTTTCTTTTTAATAACTTGTACTTCCAGAGTTTGATTTGAATTCTTTGTTTAGTAAGTTTATGCCTATAAAGCTGCTCATCTTCTTGATCAGATCTAATGGCAAGTGTCTGATAGTTGGGAGCTCTTCTCCACACTCCTTCCATGTTTTCTAAATCTGAGGTAGGCTTCATATATAAAGACGTACACATGTAAAAATTATGTGGGCAAGCTATTTTGGAAGTTTGCAGTTTTCTTTTATGTGTTTTTGAAGTCTTACTCTGTTTCAGGGTGCGTTTGTGCTTCCCACTTCTCCCTCTTTTACTGGTGGATGTGCGTTTACATTTGTCATTTATTATTGAGTGGAAATAGGGACAAGTTGGAGAAGAAAGGTTTAACTTTTTTTGTATATACTGTATCAGGCTGATTACGTTCAGCACTTAAGGCATCACCTGCATCTTTTTCTGTTCAAGATCTTGTTTGAGAGCATGTCTCCCTGGGATTATTCCATTCTGTTGATTCCTTTCATGCATCTAATCTTCTAGGGTTCTCCCCCTCACCACCCCCCAGTATCTGTGATTAAATACTCTTGGGTCTTGGTTAAGTTTCAGGACGCTAATGAGTCTGCAGGGAATAAAAGTGGTTAACAGCAACAAGAATGAAGAGGAATGTCTTGGCTGCATTTCTGTATCTTGTGCAAACAAGGTGGATTAAATCAAGTTCTGGAATAAGAGAACAATTATCACTGTGCACTGATCTGTGCTCAGTTTTTGCGCTAAACAGGGGGAATTACTTCTCTCAAGCTAATTCTCCCTTTCTTGAAATGCAGCTTGTCTGCACAGTTTGATAGTTATCTCTGGGGGTTTTTTGTGTTTTTGGTTTTGTTTTTTTTTTTTTTCCTGTCTTAAAAAAGCTCAACTTTTCATGATTCCCTAGATTCTTGGAATAACTTCAGGATGCCTTAAATGCTGTCATCTTGGAGTCGCAGCCTCTTCGGTTTTCTTGACTTTCTAACCGTGATGGAAATGGAGGAAAATGGAGGAAAAGCTGTATGAGACAAGAGAAAGTGGTGCTAATTACAAATACAGGATGGTTTTGTCCTGAGGCTGTGGAGCTAGGATTAATTTCATAGCTGCAGGGAGGAGGGTGAACTTGTAGTGCTTACTTTACCAGTGGTTGTTAATGACACCCAGGGCAGGCTGTAGGGTCCTATTCTGTACTCAGTGTGACCTTGGAATGTGTGCTGGAAAAGATAATGGCAGCTTCAGTATTTTGGATATCAGAGTATGCGTCTTATTTAGGAAAATGCACCTTAATGCTCTGTAATAAATAGTATTGTGGGTCTTTCAATTCTCTAGGTTTATTAAAATGTTCAGAAAGGAAAGGGTAGACATGAACTATTTGTGTTACTTGGTGTACAGATGTCATTCCCCCTCTCACTATGTGCTTTGTGTTATGATCTAATTACCTTGAAGTTAGTTCCGTAGGGCTTATGTGTCTCATGCTCAAGAAATGAGCTATTCCAGGAAGAATTACCTGCAATTAATAAGGTGATAATGCAGAGCGTTTTGTTTTGCGTGTACACAGTTGTAAATAAGAGCAAAACTGGACCCGTGATTCCCAGAAGCAGGCAGGGGTACATTCAGGAGAGTCTGTAATGAGTCTTTTAAAGGATTGTACGAAAAGTCGTGTTTCCTTCCGTTACTTTCCAACTTTTACCTGTTTATTAGGCTGTGGCATCTCTGAAATTGTTACTTTGAAGGAATTCGAAGCACTCTTGTTAATGCTGATGTGCATGAGCATTGATCTCCAAACCAACAACTGAATTTACAGACTTGAAGTATTTGCTGAAAACGTTAAAATACAAGTGGAGCTCGTGGTACTGAGAGTTGTTTGTACCCGTGTGTTACTGTTGGTCCTGTTCTTCCCCGTCTTAGTCTTCTTTTTTTTTTTTTTTTTTCTTTTTTCCCCCCCCTCCCCACCTTCCCATTACAGGTCTTGATGCAGAGTTGTCTTACGTGAGGAATGATGTCATTAATCACTATGCATTGTCCTTCAATCTCTTAATACCCAGGGAGACCAACAATCTTCACTTCAGCTGGCATGCTAAATCCAAGGTAAGCGGACATAACTTCTATGTTTGAGTACTTGATACATGATCGGTACTGCTTAGTGAATACCCACTATTATAACTTAATGGCTTTTTTCTTTGCAAAAATTAGCATATGCTAGGTGCAAAGGAATTGTCTATATGATTGCAGGCAGTAAGTTAAGATGATATGTATCCAGACTGTTCCTTTCTCATTTTAGAAGAGTTAAGCACTTCTTTTGAAGTATTTTACACTTCTCATGTCTGGGAAGCTACATGTATGTATACAAGCTCCTGGCTGTGTAATCTCTCCTGGTGGTACATGGAGCACACAGAAGAGGCAGCCATGAACTGAAACCTCTGGAAATCAATGTAGAGCAATTGTATTTTAGAGATTTCTAGAAGCATATGTTTGGCGACAAGAACCACCTATAAAAGTAGCGTCTAGTATGTTATTACCGAGCCCTGATTAAATGGAAAGAGATTTTTATTTCACTTAATCACCGTGGCTGGAGCATGCAGCAACAGCTGTCATAAAGGTTGCGTATGCTCTTACAATTTGAGGGATTTCCAGTTACTTAACAATTTATTTTTGTATATGAAATGATCTGTTTAGGCTCTGCCAGATGTTCATTCTTTCTTTTTTTAAACTTGAGTGATAGTTATTCTTCTGTCCTTAAGTAGGAAAGACTGCAGTAGGAACAGTAATATTTAACAACTCCACCAATGTGATTTCTGAAGATTGTTTCTGCCAGCGTTCTTCCCTTTGAGGTGTAACTTCTTATGAGATGTGAATTTTGGCCTCCAACAGTATTGGGTAGAGTGCAAACCAACCCTTCTGCTTGATATCATATTCCACCTTCACAGGTGGTTCAGTCACTTGCCATTTGAGTAGGACCTTTGAAGGAGTTTCCTTGTTACAACTTTAGCCATGAGCTACCTGCATAATTGTCCTTGCCCTGAGTTTCCTTGGGCCTGTCTGGGAATTTTGAATAGGAATTTTTGAGCTTGTGTAGCCCTGCTTCCATTACTGTGATTGCACCACTCAGCATTTTCTGTGCTAACTTTGTAGGATGACTGTAGTGCAGTTTATAGGAGCTCAGAAACTGGGTTGGGTTTCTACCTTTGGCATCTTGACTGAAGAATAAATACATAGCATAAATGCATCCTATTATGTTTTAGAAAGGGGATAAAAAGAAACTAATGGGGCAAACCAGGTCAAACCAAATTGATTCAGCTGAGTGTGGAGGGATAGGATGAATTTCCAACAGGAGCTTATGACTTAGTTACAATAGCTCCTGCACTTTTTTTGAATGAATATGTGCAGAATCGGCTTCTTAAGTGGAAACAAAATCTTGACTATAGTTGAATAAAGCGTTTGTAAGCAATTTTGACTGTGTAGTTTATAAAACAGACTAGAGGAGGGAGAAGTTTTTTGAGTTCCTGTGGTTTTAACAAAATGGCTTTTGAACGAGTAAGTTTAAAAGTATTGGCAAGTGAAGTTTGTGGTGTTTTGTTTTTTTTTTAATTTCACTTCAAAATCTGCCCCAAATTTTCAAGAATGATTTCCAGAGTGGCTTCTGTTTTGGCTTTCTTAATTTGAACTGTCACAAAAGTCTGTTTAGACTTCATATAAGAAACATGGAATTTGGGCACGTAAAATCACCAGCATTCTTTGAAAATATGATACATTTTTTTAATTTCCAGAAGGATTATGAAAAGGTATGTAGCATTTCTTTTTATTACTGTAGAGATTTATTACATGTTCTCCATCTCCCAACTATTGTTACAGGTTGAGTATAAACTGGGATTTCAGGTAGATAATCCCATGGCTATGGCTCTGCCCCAGGTCAACATTTCTCTACAAGGAGAAGTTCCTCGCACCCTTTCAGGTAAACTCCCCACCCCTCGAAAGTGCACAGCTAGTGCTGGTACTAATAATGCTTTCTGGTGGTACTTTTTCTAAAATGTGTGGTGTGTTGCTTAAGATTGTCATTTTTCTCTAGTAAACATAATATGTTTACAGACCTTCTGTAACAGTTGCGACATTGCTAAAAAAGGGTATTATAGATTGAGACTATTAGTTTGAGAGTAATATTTTTATTGCCCTTCGTTAGTGGAGGATGGAGATTTTCCTGGAAAGGAAACATGACTTTTCAAAAATGATTGTGTACACAGGCAAGGTTCCTGTTCTCTTTCAACAATAATAACTAACAATTGCATGGGTTTTAAAATCGACACCTTTTAATTTCTCTAGCCTATAGAGATGACATTTCAAGGTGTGTGGGAGTTGTTAATACATTAAAGTGTTCATGGTAAGTTTAAAACAGAAAACTCTTTTGAATATATACTAGCTCCTCCATAGAATTTATACTAGAAACAATGGCATTTATTTCAGGAAGTGTGTGAATGATGATCATTCATGCTTGTTCAAGTATGGTTCCTCACCATCTTGTGCTCTGTTAGATACTCAAGGGGCAATAAAATATATATTGATGTTTTGGTTGTGTACTGCGTTTTTGTTAAAGCAGACTCTGGGGAATTAGGCTTGTTGTGTCTGCTCTGTTGGCATAAATAATACTGGTATATAAGCTAGAAAGTAAATAATGTCATATTAGTTCAAGCTTTGATTCCAGTCAGAGTTGCAGAGACCGAAATATTTAAACTTAATGGTTGTGAAAAAAGCTAGCCTTCATAGCATTTTAGAAAGCAACGAGTGACAGCACTTTAACTCCAAAGCTAATGGATGGCTAATGGTCATTTATCCACAAATACAGTTCTGGTAATCTGTAAATTTTTAATATAATTCACACAATTTAATACCTGTGCTCTTTAATGCTTTAATAGTTGTCTGAAATTACAAGGCCTGAAGACTAGAATACCATTTCTTAAATAGCACGTTCTTTAAAAATGTACATTATAAACATCATTTAAAACGACCTTTATTTAGTTGTTCTTTCACCACAATGTCTGAGAAGCGTGCAAACTTAATTGTAATGCCTGTTTGTTTTCTGTTTGCAGTGTTTCGTGTCGAACTCTCCTGCACTGGCAGACTCGATTCTGATGTCACAATACTAATGCAGCTCAACTTGACAATAAATTCGTCAAAAAACATCACAGTTTTAAATTTCAAACGAAGGAAAGTGTGCTACAAAAGTAAGACATTAAGTTTCAAATATTAAAAAGCTTTTAGTGTTCAAGTATGATAGGAAAAAGGAGTGGGGAGGTATGTGATCCAGGACATGAGTAACGGTTCCTGAGAGTGAATGTTGGAGAGGATAGGAGGAAACCAGGTAAAATTTTGCCTTTCAGAGACGAATGGGGACTTTTGGTAAAAGCAGAAGCTGATGGATGAACAAATTCCCGAAGTGTTCTGCTGCATTGACTGACCTTTTTTACATATATAGCAAAAAACCATTTTCTCTGTTGTGCTTGGAAGGGAGAAACTGGTTTCCTTGAAACTGCAGCACTCTGAGTATTCAAAATGTTCTAAGAATTACTAACAAAATCTACTTAGTTTACAAATTGTGCTAGACTTAAAATTGGCTATTTAGTGAATGTAAGCAGGTCTTGGAGTACAAAATGATCTTGGTAGATAATGCAGACTTTAGAAATCCTGGATCGACTCTTCTGCGTTCTGACTTGGAAATCTGCAAGGACAATTTGTTCTTGGAGTGTTACTATCTCCTGTTGCTGCTTCCTAGGAGTATTTTCATAGGCATCAGAAGCAGATTACATTGGAGAATCCCAAGTACCCTCCTTGAAAATGGCTGTGGTGTCCTGTTCTCAGGCCACGTTTGAAGATGACCGCCTTTCTATTTACATGCTCCTCCTGGCTCTGTTCAGTTTACTTGGAGCTTTTGAGGACAGTAGTTGGCTCTTCAGGGGGGAGGTGGTGACTTCTCTTGAGTATGAATGTCTAAGGATGAACTTCTGGAAGGTGTGGGTGAAAGAGCTAGTGTAGCTTTTTAGCACATGATGTTGTCTTCTTTACGTTGATGTTACACTTTGAATTAAGAATGATCTTTTTGGATCTCCCTTTCTAGTGAAAATGGAAGTCTGGCTGATAACACTGACGCTTTTACCTTTATTTCATGTTTTCCTAGCTACTTTTTCAAAAGTTCTAAGTGAGGGAAGTCAGCACTGCTTGTGCATTCATAGCGTATTGAGCTGCTGAATGTGCAGAGCAGGTTTCCATAGGCACCACACAGTTATCTGGGTGCGTGAGGTAATCACTTCTGCATAATTTAGGAAGTGGCTGTCTTACAAATACCATGTTTCTGCAGGTTCATGAAAATGTTGGTGACTTTTTTTGATGTGTGTTGATTGGTATAGAACATCCGGGGATTTCTGATTTGATTTAGTACAAAAGTTAAAAACATGCAGGAACTTGCAAGCAGTTTTGCTCAAGGCATTCCTAGTAGTTCCTTCTAAAGTTTAAAAAAGGAGAGGCAAAAAAAAAAAAAGACTCTTAGATTTTTCGCTCCCCCGGATTACGTTTTCTCAAGTTTATCAGGCTGAAATGGCTTACCAAGGAGTCGGAAGGGGTTGTGCTGGGGAGTGGGAAGGGGGATTCGCAAGTGGTACTGCACCTTTACAGCCACAGAAATCCATTACGCTGCCTCAACTGCCTGTGAATCCTCAGTGAGGTTCATCTGAAATGATCTTCACAGCCTGCGCGCCCTTGCTTTGCACTGCTCCTCTTAGTGACCAGACTCACAGTAAGCTTAATGAAGATTTGTTCCCTTTTCTAAAGGACTATTTTCACACATGAACCTGAGTAGTGTCCTTGTGTCTTTTGTTCCATGAGTGTTTAAATAGGCATTACCTTTTTCATCCTTCAGTTTTAAAACTCATGACTAACATCAGCTGAGAAGGCACAGTGCCCATGGCTGCATCTCTCGCTTCTTCCTAGGATGAGTAGCATTAGACTGTAACCAGAATTTCTTCCAAAAGGTCACGGTAGTATTGATTGAACATTCTAGAAAATATCTTCTATCCTGTAGTAACTGATTCTGTGAGATCTTTGTTGTTTAGTGACTTAGCATAAGCTCACATACTCTGCACCTCCTCTTTCTACTGTCTGCTGCTTTGGAGTTTGGTGGACAAGCCGGAGGGTTTTTTGAGGTGGGTAGATTCAGTGAGTTCAAGCATGGTCTCAACTCAACGTGTATCAGTGGTGAAATGTATCTGTGTCTTAAGGGTGATTTTTATTATACAGTGGTTAGGTATTTAAAATTGAAATCTAGAGATAACTATAGTCCTTAAGTCAGCTCACCTGTTTGGAAAAGCAGATTTGTTTTTCCATAAATGAGGCAATTGACTTGCTGTGAAAGGCTACAGTAATAAATGTATGCCAAACCTAATGGTTTTCTCTCATCTGTTTAGAGCTTGAACCAGAAGTAAAATCTCCAGCATCTGATAAAAACAGCAGCAAGGCTATCTGTAAGTAATTCTGAGTGTACAGCTTATTTCGGGTGTAATAAAATAAAAACTTGTGATGTTCTTTCTGTTTCCACAGCTTTCCCTATGAAAACGCTCCCCAGGTAGTCTGTACTATACCCAGTATTTTAGCAGCGGTTTTTTGTAATTTTTTTAAACTGGGAATGTATACTAGTGAAGACGAAAAAAACCCTATTCCAGGTCTCCTCACAACTTTTTTTTAAATCACATCTTAGGGGCTCTGGTTTCTGTACATGACTGGTCTATTTTCTTGATATTTAGGACTTGTCTAGTTTGCTATTTTAACTTGTCAGTATTCAATGAATAGAATGATGTAGTGACTTCTGCTCACTCCTCTTCTAACTGGAAATATCAACTGACGGTGCTCAACCTCTGTAGTATCCAAAATGTAAACATGTTTGCCAAAATGCTTTTGGAAAGCAATGGAGAGCATCGCTCGTTTTTCTCTTTACCGCCTGCTGCAATTGTTTTCCACGATGTGGGATTTAAAATTGGCAATAGCTAGGGCTACTGCCTCTTCCCGTCTCTGCCCGCGTTGCTGCTTAACACCAGCTGAAAGCCAGCGCAGCAGCCAGTGCTCTGCTACCAAGGTGCAACTGCAGAATTTTGCCATAAAACTCACTGCAGTTGAGATTCTTTTGAGAAAGAGGATTAATTACCCTGTTAACAGTGCTGCATTAAGATTTAGGTCAGGGGGGCCGTCAGCCATCATACCCTAAAATCAGGAGGAGAAGCTGAAGTTGTGTGCTCTGGTACATTCAGTCAGTGAGTAAGCACCACTATCACACTACACCTAGGTATTAGTCTCATTTTATTTACTGTATTGATGTGTGTGTCCTGGTGTGCAGGTGACCCCTGCTCTTCCAGCCCCAACTAGTAAGTCTATGCCATGTGCTGCCTTGGGGCTCAGCTTAGCCGCAGGCTGAGTTTGTCCATGCTCTTACTGTGTTTGCAGCATGGAGTTGTGCGAGGTAGAACCAGCAGGACCAACAGGACCATTTTAGGAGGTTCCTGGCTAGCTTTTATCCTTCAGTAGGAACCCTCCTTTTGTCCTAATAAATAGATGTAAGCATCGAGTGACTTGCTGGGCCCTGCCCTGCTTTACTGCAGCAGGAACTGTGGTGCCCATTCTTCTGGGGATCACCATGGTCTGCCTCTGCAAGTCTGGGGACAGCAGCCCTGCATTCCTGACAAGTCAGCCTGCTGGAATTGTAACAAAATGATGTTTGTTTGGGTTTTGTGGGGTTTTTTTTCTTATTTTTGGGTTTGTGGTGTGTTGTTTTTTGTTTTGGTTTTTTTTTTTGAGAGAGGTCCAGTAACTTTTCACCTTTCTATTTCAGTTGATCCCGTAAATGCAGCTCCCACTACTTCTACCCGTGTGTTTTATATCAGTGTAGGCGTGTGCTGTGCTGTTATATTCCTGGTGGCGATAATATTAGCTGTCTTGCATCTCCACAGCATGAAAAGGATAGAGTTGGATGACAGGTATGTATTCAAGCTTTTCGAGTGCGTTTTTGGGACACATTTAGAAATTTTTGGGAGTTCTGGTCTCAAAATGAGCGCTTTGTAGTAGCTTGCAATTTCTGCTCTCAATGTCAAGCTGTAGCAATTACTACCTGTGTAGACTTGTGGTAAGTGCTATGCTGCAGAAAGGCAGCCGTTGCATGTGCTCTGCTGTTTATGGGGTGGGAGGGTTGTGGCTGTTGGGTTTTTGCCAGAATAGTTGTGTGGAGGACATACAGTGAGGAAATTTGGACAGAATCAGATCTACAGGCATTGTCAGGATTGAAGGAAAATTTGATAGATACCTGGGCACACTGAAAATATTTGTTTTTTACTGACTTCTACAAGAGATTGAATTTCAGTTTTCTCTATTTTGATTGATTTACCAGTATTCATGTTGGCCTTAGGGTAAAGTCTGGGGATTACAACTGCTTGGTTATAAAGTTGAAAATGTGGCGTTCTCCCACATGTATTTTCAATCCAGAAAAAACAAATTAGCACACGCCTGCGAAAAGGGACTTTTAACATGAACCCAAGGGCAATACAGTCAGCTGAGTGGGGATTAAACACCGAGGCGGAAGGGAGGCTGAAAAAGCAGGTGGACTGAGGCTCTGCTGAGGCTGTGTGAACAAGCTGCATCAGATGCAACTGTTCAGAAGCAGACAGGTTTGAAACGGAATACTTTGGAAAACGGTTGGGCCTGTGGGTGGTCACCCCTTTTGAAAGGATCTCTTGAACTGTTTCTATTCCTGCCTGCAGCCTCTAAGAGTAGCTCTATCTTTTCATCTTCCTCTCTATCCATTCATACGTTTCTTTCTGGTTTTCTTTCTGCCATTTACTCCAGCGGTGTCCCAGACCATTTGGTTTTGGGGGGGTGCGTCAGTGTAGTAGGTGGTAATGGTTTCTCAAGGCCTGATTATCCAACCAAATGACTTGTCAGCTTTCCTCAATTCATTTGTGCCTAACTGTCTACTGAGGGTTTTTAATCAATAGAAGGTGCTAAATGATGTGCAGCTTGCTTTAATTCAGAAAGAAAAAGCATTACATTTATAGAGTGTGTGAGTAGTGTCATCTTATGAGTTTTTGAGAGACTTAGCCTAGCAGTGTGATCAAATGTCCTTTCATCCACTCCATTGTACTGGATTTCTGTGGAGATACAAGCTAAAAATTCATCTAATGTTAATGTTTGCAGGTGTTAAAGAATTTACTCTAAATCAGTATATGGCCTTCTGAGAATATCTGTGAAGTTTATGTAGATAGTGGGATTTAGTTCTTCACAGAGCCATGTGATGACTTAGGTTTTTCAGCCCAAAGGTGCCTGACCTGATAAAACCTTGGATGGGCTTCCTGGTTACCCAGCTCTTATGAGCTGTGGTCAACTAGTATCGTAGCAAAGGTGTAACAGGCAAAATGTGCCTGAAAATCAGGATCTGTGGAGTTTTGTTTTCGGAACGGGCAGCGTGCGCAGGAGCCTGCAGAGAGACAGCGAGGTGATGTTTCAGTGAGAAACTGGTTCAGCGTTATAATTTAGCCTCAGTGTTACGTGCTAGCATTACATATCATCAGTGGCTGCTTGATGTAGCAAGCTACTCAAGGAACTCGTGAGAGAAGAAAGAACTTTTGATTTGGTTTTGAATAACAAGCTCAAAATGTTGCTGCAAAGGGGTTCTGAATCGAAGATGATAACGTCATTAGGGTTAACGACCTCCCAGGAGCAACAGAGGCTGAAAAACCTGCTGCTGTTGCTCTTAATTTCAAAAACCAGAACTAAATAAAAATGAGGAAGGTTGTTAAATAGAAGCTAAAGCCAGGCAGCTGAGTTTACAGGCTGCACGTGGACTATTTAAGAACATTGTATTGGAAGTTCAGAGCAAATGCTTGCATACCTCCTATCAAAGGCACTTGAAAAAGTGCCAAAGAAAGTTGGCATGGCTTAACAGCAGGATAATGGAGGTTATTAAAAGCAAGAAGGCATCAGTCAAAAAGCTGACGTAGAATGCAAGCGAGAAAACCAAGAAAGCTTGTAAACACGAGCAAGTTAAACCTAAAGAACAGAATGAACCCAACCAAAAAGGTAGTTTTTCAAACTTGCAGCAGGCATAAAAAGAATAATTCCTTTTTCAAACTTGCCTGCAGCAGGAAGCCAGCCAAAGAAATCTTTAGGGCTGGGAGGTGATCAAGTTACAAAAGGAGTTTCCAGCCATAGCAGGAAAATGAAATACAAGTTCTACATCGGTGTTTAATGTGGTGACCATGCCAGGACACTTCTTTCTGGGCAACTTGCTGGAGAGTGGATCATATTGAAGCAACTTATAGACGCAATAGTGCAAACAGTTAAAATAAGCAGTAATAAGTTGCCAGCACCAGAGAATATTCATTCAAAAACTCTAAAGAAAGTTAAAGTGGAGTAGCTAGACCACCGACTGTGGCTTTTAACCTCATGCTAAAAACTGTGGTGGAACCCTACACCGGGAAGACAGTGAATGTGGGACTAACTTTAAAAACGGTTTCCAGAGAGAGATTGAGGTCAGCTCTAAATCAGTAAGCCTGATGTTTGTATTGTGAGAATTAGTAGATTCTGTTTTAAAGAAAAAATTCAGCAGGTGCATCTGTGATTATGCTATAATGGGGAAGAGTTGAGTTGGCTTCCTTTTTTTTTAAAGGAAGTCTTGTTTCAAAGCTAACAGTGGTTCTTGAGGGCATCACCAAGCCTGTCTAAAAATCCTGCAAGGATAGTTAACGCTGCTTGGTCAGTGCTGAATAGCAGCCCAAGAAGCAAATGCAGTGTTGATTATTTGGCAAGGCAGAAGGTTATACCCAAAACCTGTCTCTTCTTTGTTCTCCTGATACAGTCAGCAGATGTGGAGAAGCTTTTAAGTTTCAGAAAAGGGGGGATGTTTGTGTTGTTCGTGAGGGAGATTAAAAAAACTTCTGGCCCTGCCATCTGAGCTAGTAACAGGTACTGCCTTTGCCTGCAACCTTTCTTACCTGTTCTTAGGGCACGACAGCTACAACAACTCTTTTTGTAGGACTTTGTGAGGCTAAGACAGAAAACATCCTGCTACTCTTTAAGCTGTGATTTGCATGTCTCTTGAATATGACATACAGCTATGGTTATTCTACCCAAAGAAAATATCTCAAAAGCACATTGTAGGTGGCCCTGGATGGGACGACAAGTATCCTTAGAGAGAAGAATGACCAAGTAGGCTAGGGCAGTTTCATCTGCAAAAGAGAGCTGAGACAAGTAGAGTGGTATAGAGCAAACAGCCGTTTGCAACGATGAACTAGGGAGTATCTTTTCAATACTTGCTCCAGCACAGGGACTAAAGGACAGCAAATAGAGCTAGCAACTGATATGCCCAGGGCAAGCGAGAGGAGATCACGCTGGCTGAAAAAGCTCGTTAAGCTTTGCAGGGCATTATAGGTGCCTCTCCGTTTGGCTCAGGCTACTGTTTCCCAATTTTCATAGTCGTTGATTCTCAGTGGGATGCTGTTACCGTGAAACAAATGCATACACGTCTTTTCTGGAATATAATAGTTTTGTTGTTTCTGGTATGAGAGGGTTTTTCTTGCAATAAATGTTTTGTCACCTTGTTTTTTTAAAAGTGGGGGAAAAGTACTGGAAAATAGAGCAGATTCTGCAAAACAAATGGGAGGAAGTTGTTCACACTCAAAGAACAGAAGTGCTAAGATTTTTCAGTTACCTGAAATACATTTTAATGTGTGTGAGACTTTAAAAATGCCATTCTTTCAAAGTCAAGCCTGGCAAATCTTCTGGTTTTAACGTTGATAAATTAATTCTGACTTTATTACAGTGGCAAGCAGTCATGTTCATCTCCATTTTTGTTTTAAAACAGCATTAGTGACAGCAGTAGCTCACAAGGTTTATCCCAACCTTCCACACAGACGACACAGTACTTGCGAGCTGACACACCAAACAATGCAACGCCAGTAACCAGTAAGTGTTAATCTAATTACAGACCCTCTTGGACACAGCTGGAGGATTCGGTGATAGGGGTCACACCGATTTAGTATCAAGTAGAAGAGAAGAGCATGAATGGCTCTGTCAGTTTGCCTCTGGAGTTCCCGTAGTGTGTGGTTTTATCCAACCATGCCATAGTCAAGATTGAGGCCTCCTTAAGTACTGAGGCCTGGGAGTCATCGTATGAGCATGATACTGTGTTTTCTCCGATGGGATGGTTCTCCTTGCACATAGATCAGTCAGCCAGAAAGGCTTCACCAGTATCTGTAAAGCATATGTTTTCTTAACACTGGAAAGAAGCTGCCTTACGCAGTCCAAGCAGAGGGTGGTATAGACTTGGAAGAGATAACAGCAAGTGGAAGTCTCTGCCTCGCCCTAGGATCAGTTCCTGAGGGGAGACTGAAGCAAGTGATGTCATCACCATGTGTTACTGATGGTTATGTTACTTTCTTCTCGTTGCTGCAACCTGCAATGGAAATGAATGGGGGGAAAAAACTTTACAAGGGTGCTAACATTCATGATCTCTTTTTGTTTACAGCTTTGCTTGAAAAGAATGTGAAATAATTAAAAAGGGCAGTGAATTAAAAGGAAGGGTGGTAGTGGTTTATATACTCTGTGATAGACTGATCTGGAAACTGATGCTAGCTATGTTCTGTGTTAGTTCTGTAATTACTGAAGGTATTTATTATCTGCAGAATGTTTACTCCTCCGATTATTGTCTGTCTTTTCTAACGGAGGGATATCCCATATAGTGTCACTCCAGGGAAGGGACTGTTTAGACTGTGTAAGGACACACTTGGTGTGCAGTTCTTTGGCAGTTCAGTCTCAGGGAACTGATCATGAGCCTTTCCCTCGTGCTGACACTTACGCTGAGACACGACTCAGGGTGCTGAGCCAGCCAAAACCTGACTTCTTTTGTAGAGTGATGGGTTTTTGGTTGACTCAGGCCTCTGAACCGGCTTGTAGCCTAGCTGTATGAGCACCGAGATTGGTGCTTAGAGGGTACACGGGTCTACATGGCTGAGCATTGGAAGAAGGCAGGACTTAGCCCAGACTGAGCTGGCTTAAGCTGCTGCTGGAGAGCCTGCTTTAAATGATCTAAAGTGAGGTAAGAGTTTGTATTACCAAGTGAGAAAAATGGGGGAGCCCAGCCAGAGGAACAAACTATCTCTCTGTTAAACTCAAATTGCTCTTTTTCTCAATAGAGTGGGAACTGCCAAGCTGAAATAGTACCCTGGCACTCCTGACCTTTTCAGAAAGTGTAAATTAAATGGCTCCTATTTTCTTCTCCTGCCACGAGTGATTTTCTCTTCCATAATGCTCAATAGAATCATAGAATCATTTCGGTTGGAAAAGACCTTTAAGATCATTGAGTTTTGTATTAATTACCTGAAGAGACTTTGTTCGGCAGTTCAATGAGTAGAAACGTCAATGTAGATCTGTTGTTTAGAGCTAGCTAAATGTAATGATTAATGACTTTTTTAAAAAGCAACCAATAAGACCCAAAGGTCTCTCCTGTTGTCTTCTGATTGCATTTAGTAGTGATACTGACCATCCCAATTCATGAGGGAGCACTCCAGGAATGTAATTTTTTACTGTTGAGCCCTATTGTGCTTTCCTGTTTCCTCCCCGCATGTGGAAGCAGGTGTTTACCTAAGATTGAACTGCAACTTTGGGAAAGTTTTTTGGCTTTCTTCTAAATTGTACTATATCTTCCTAACGGGGGAAAAAAAAAATAAATCTTTTTTTCTCATCTGAGTTCATCTTTCCCTTGCAAAGAGCTGCCTTTAAAATTTATTTAGAAGCAGCATTAATTTAAAAATAAATAAAGGAATACATATATAAAAAAATTCCTTTCCACAGAGTTTGGAAGAGACCTTAGCATGCAACTAATTCTTGAGCTGGTTTTTGCTCTTGCCACCCAGAGACCCTCCCCAGTCTTTTTATTTTCCATCTCTTATCCCAGATCATATTGTGCTGTTGATATTCTGTCAACCTCAGGTTTTTAGGTTGGCCGTGTAAGTGACACCATTTGGTTAATTTGAATATGACCCCTGGAAGCTCATTACTGAGCTGCTGGCAAAAGGGGAGAGGACCAAGCCCATAGCAATGGGCTCGTCACCTTGACGAGCATGGTAGCCACTATGCCTAAGTGGTACCTGTTTGCTGTGTTCAGTCCTTGTTGTTTCAGAATGTCTCTTACCAGTTCTGGGACATGCCTGGTAGCACAGGAAAAGATGAAAACAAATAGAAGAAGAAAAAAGGCTGGATGCATGAAATAAACAGGAAAGAACGTTCTTAGTCCTTCCACAGTCCTGTTAACTTTGTTTTCAGTAACATTTAAATTTAAAAAAAAAATCATCAAAGTAATTCTTGATTTCTCTAATGATTCATAAACTTGTACAAAAATATTAAGGCCTTTCTGACTGTATTAGTGTATCTAGATGTCTAGAAGTGCCAGAAGAGGGCACTGGTAGTTTTAGTTACGTCCTGCTGGGATAAGGCATCTTCCTCACTCCCAGCAAGTCTTCTGACAGTCTCCGACCATGGTCTTTATTTCCTTAGAATCATAGAATTGTTTAGGTTGGAAAAGAACTTTGAGATCATTGAGTCCAACCATTAAGCTAACACTGCCCAGTCCATTACTAAGCCATGTCCCTAAGCACCACATC